ACCTGTGCCCATCAGTGCCATCCACCTGTGCCCATCAGTGCCGCCCAGCAATGCCACCCACCTGTGCCTAGCAGTGCCACCCATCTGTGCCCATCAGTGCCACCCACCTGTGCCCATCATTGCCACCCACCTGTGCCTAGCAGTGCCACCCAACTGTGCCCATCAGTGACACACACCTGTGCCCATAAGTGCCACCCACCTGTGCCTAGCAGTGCCACCCACCTGTGCCCTGCAGTGCCATCCAACTGTTCCCGACAGTGCCACCCACCAGTGCCCATCAGTGCCGCCTATCAATGCAGCATCATCAGTGCCAGCCCATCAGTGCCGCCTATGAATGCCGCCTATCACTGCCCATCAGTGCTGCCTATCTGTACCACCTCATCAGTGCCCATCAGTGCCCATCAGTGCTGCCTATCAGTGCCCATCAGTGCAGCCTCATCAATCAGTGAAGGAGAAAATTTACCTGTCTGCAAAATTTTATAATAGAACAAAGAAAAACGTTTTTTCTTCAAATGTTTTGCTTTTGTTTATAGCGCAAAAAATAAAACACCCAGATGCAATTAAATACCACCAATAGAAAGCTCTATTTGTGTGAAAACAAATATAAAAAATTCATATGGGTACAGTATCGCATGACCAGGCAATTGTCATTCAAAGAGCAACAGCGCTTAAAGTTGAAAATTGGCCTGAGAAGGAAGGGGGTATGAGTGCCCGATAGGCAAGTGGTTAAAATAGAAATGACAAATAAAACATTTGTGTATACATATAAAAAACAATGATCACATACATTCTGTTCTCATCTGCATAAGGAGCTTATAGAGCTGGAGGAGCAGAAACAGCAGGAAACTAGTCTTCCCAGTAAAAGGCTATGCAGGTGGAGAGGGTGGGGTGGGTGTCAGGACAAATCTGATCACTGGGAGAGAGCAGACAGATCTCAGCACAGCTACAGATCTGAACACACTGTGTTCACATGCATAGTGCGATCAGTTTTTAGTAGGAAAGCAGAGGGACTGGCAGAAACACCAGGGATTTCACACAAAGGAAGCAATACAAAGAGAATAGGATATTTTTTTCATATAAGTACATGATACAGAAGGCACATATCAGGAATATGAAATGTTGGGTTGGCATATTTTTTAACTGCTTCTGCGCCACCCTATAGCAGATATACTGCTACAGGGCGGCACGGGTATGCAAAATCTACATATTTATACATGATTTTGCATTTCCGGGCAGGGGATGCTTGCGCCCTAACTGCGCCACCATTCATGGCCTCGGCTGTCAATCACCAGGTTCCGGCCTGTGATTCCCCACTGGCACCCGATGATCACCAAGTATCACCAATGGGGGAGAGGCCTGTGTTTAAGCAGCACAGATCTCTCCCTTGTCAGCTCCTGCACACTGCATACAAAGCAGTGTTCTTACTGTCAAACACACACACAGCCCTCATAGTAAAACAGCCCACAGCACACAGTTAATCCTTTGATTGCCCCAGATGTTAACCCCTTCCTGCCCAGTGCCATTAGTACAGTGTCAGTGCTTTTTGTTAGCACTGATCACTGTATTGGTGTCACTGGGGATATCAGTGACACCAAGTCAGTTCCCCCAGTGTCAGAATGCCTGCCACAGTCCCACTATAAGTCGCTGATCGCCACTATTACTAGATTAAAAAAAACAATTCCAGTATATATACTGCCATTTGTAGACGCTATAACATTCACATAAACCAATTAATTTACATGTATTGGGATAATTATTTTAGCAAAGACATGGAGCAGAATGCATTTTGGCCTAAATTTATGATGAAATATGATTTCTGAATTTTTTTACTGGACATGTTTAATAGCAAAAAGTCACAAATATAGGTTATTTTTTCAAAATTATGGCTCTTTTTTTGTTTATAGTGCAACAAATAAAAAAAATGCATAGGAAATCAAATACCACCAAAGAAAGCTACATTTGTGGGAATAAAACTGTGCAAATTTCATTTTGGTGCAGCGTTGCATGACCGCACAATTGTCAGTTAAAGTAATGTAGCTTCGTATCGCACAAAATGGCCTGGTCAGGAAGGGGGGTAAATCCTCTGGAGTGCAAGTGGTTAAACTGTTGTTTGTAAAGCAAAGTTACAAACCTAAAATGATAATCAAATTATTTATTTTTAATTTAGTAAGTATAGAGTTAAAATCAGAGTCCTGGCCAGGATGAGCAGAAGTTCTAAAGTTCTGAAAAAAAATATATTCATAGATGGGGGGAAGAAAGGGAGTTATGTGACTAATGACAGCAGGATCCCAAATACAGGTGAAACTCGAAAATTAGAATATCATGCAAAAGTTCATTTATTTCAGTAATGCAACTTAAAAGGTGAAACTAATATATGAGATAGACTCATTACATGCAAAGCAAGATAGTTCAAGCCGTGATTTGTCATAATTGTGATGATTATGGCTTACAGCTTATGAAAACCCCAAATCCACAATCTCAGAAAATGAGAATATTGTGAAAAGGTGCAATATTCTCGGCTCAAAGTGTCCCACTCTAATCAGCTAATTAAGCCATAACACCTGCAAAGGGTTCCTGAGCCTTTAAATGGTCTCTCAGTCTCGTTCAGTAGGAATCACAATCATGGGAAAGACTGCTGACCTGACAGTTGTGCAGAAAACCATCATTGACACCCTCCATAAGGAGGGAAAGCCTCAAAATGTAATTGCAAAAGAAATTGGATGTTCCCAAAGTGCTGTATCAAAGCACATTAATAGAAAGTTATGTGGATGGAAAAGTGTGGAAGAAAAAGGTGCACAAGCAGCAGGGATGACCGCAGCCTGGAAAGGATTGTCAGGAAAAGGCCATTCAAAAGTGTTGGGGACTTTCACAAGGAGTGGACTGAGGCTGGAGTCAGTGCATCAAGAGCCACCACACACAGACGGATCCTGGACATGGGCTTCAAATGTCGTATTCCTCCAGAACAACAAACAACGTCAGAAGTGTCTAACCTGGGATAAAGAAAAACAGACCTGGTCTGTTGCTCAGTGGTCCAAAGTCCTCTTTTCTGATGAGAAGCAACTTTTGCATCTCATTTGGAAACCAAGGACCCAAAGTATGGAGGAAGAATGGAGAGGCACACACTGCAAGATGCTTGAAGTCCAGTGTGATGTTTCCACAGTCTGTGTTGATTTGGGGAGCCGTGTCATCTGCTGGTGTTGGTCCACTGTGCTTCATTAAGTCCAGGGTCAACGCAGCCGTCTACTAGGAGATTTTGGAGCACTTCATGCTTCCTTCCGTAGACGAGCTTTATGGGGATGCTGATTTCATTTTCCAGCAGGATTTGGCACCTGCCCACACTGCCAAAAGCACCAAAACCTGGTTCAATGACCGTGGGATTACTGTGTTTGATTGGCCAGGGCAAACTCGCCTGACCTGAACCCCATAGAGAGTATCTATCCCAGCAGGGGGCATTGCCAAGAGAAAGATGAGAGACATGAGACTGAACAATGCAGAAAAGCTGAAGGCCGCTATTGAAGCATCCTGGTCTTCCATAACACCTCAGCAGTGCCACAGGCTGATAGCTTCCATGCCACGCCGCATTGAGACAGTAATTGCTGCAAAAGGGACCCAAACCAAGTACTGAGTACATATGCATGCTTATACTTTTCAGCGGTCCTATATTGTTCTATGTACAATCCTTGTTTTATTGATTGCATGTAATATTCTAATTTTCTGAGATTGTGGATTTGTAGTTTTCATGAGCTGTAAGCCATAATCATCACAATTATGACAAATCACATCTTGAACTATCTTGCTTTGCATGTAATGAGTCTATCTTGTATATTAGTTTCACCTTTTAAGTTGCATTACTGAAATAAATGAACTTATGCACAATATTCTAATTTTTCGAGTATCACCTGTACTTGTCCTGTGCATCTGGCAGTCAGATCTAGAATCAAGACAGCCCTTAGAATCAGGGATATATAAAACCAGATTTGTGTTTTCTGTACACGCACACAACCTCCTTAGTGGGGCCCCTTCTCCCATAGCAATTGTGAATGACGCCAACATTTCTGTGTTTTATGTCATGCACATTTCAGCCAAAAGCTGGCAGAGTTCAAAGCTCATATACAAACATTAAAATAGCATTTAGTCCCTTATGTGAACTAGTCAATATCAGCATGGTGCTGGGAATAGGGACAACTCTTCTACTGGCTACCTTAGTCACTCTCGTAATTTAGCTGGTGTCATGGTGGAGAAGGATAAACCAGTGCTGTGTCATCAGTGCCACCTCATCAGTGCAGTCTATCAGTGTCCATCAGTGCTGCCTATCCATACCACCTCATCAGTGCTGCCTATCAGTGCAGCCTCATCAGTGAAGGATACAAATTAATTGTTTGCAAAATTTTATAATAGAAACAAAGAAAAACATTTTTTCACATTGTTTGCTCTTTTTTTGTTTATAGTGCAAAAAAAAAAAAAACCCAGTGGCGATTAAATGCCACCAAAAGAAAGTTCTATGTGTGTGAAAAAAAATGATAAAAATGTCATATGGGTACAGTGTTGCATGACCGCACAATTGTCATTCAAAGTGCAACAACACTGAAAGCTGAAAATTGGCCTGGGCAGGAAGGGGGTATAAGTGGTTAAACTATGGCTTGTTTTGAAAGTTACAAACCTAAAAAAAGTAATCAAATTCTCACGTTTAGGATTTATTTTAGCCTCAGGAAGATGGTGTTAGACATACAGAGTTAAAAGCAGAGCCCTGGCCAGGATGATCAGAAGTTCTGAAGACAATAAATCTACTCACTGGTGGGAAAGAAAGAAATTATGTGACTAACAGCAAGATCCCAAATACTTGTCCTGTTTCTGGCAGTCAGTTCTAGAATCAAGACAATCTGTAAAATCAGGAATGACTATACAGCACTAGATCTGTGTTACCTCCCTAGTGGGGCCCCTTTGGCTCCAGGCCCTAAAGGAATTGTGAACAGCACCAATCCTTTACAGCACTTCCTAGTTTCATGTCATGCACATTTTTATCAGAAAAGCTGGCAGAGTTCAAAGCTCATACACAATCAGGAAAAAGGACGCAGACCACTGAACTAGTTATCATCAGCATGGCACTGGGAATAGGGACAACTCTTCTACTGGCTACTGTAGTCACTCTCGTAATTTACCTGGTGTCATGGTGGAGAAGGATAAAGCACAGTAATCTCCCTCCAGGCCCCACACCTCTGCCTCTGATAGGAAATATAATGCAGCTAAGCATCACGGAAATTCCCAAAGATCTTGTAAAGGTAATATTTCCTTGAATGTTCATTGTTACTGGGGAAAGGAGGAATGTTTAACGACAGTCTTTTTACTTGCTGCTCTTCCATCCTGGGAACAACATATCCTATCATGTTATACAGATAAGTAAAACCTACGGACCAGTGTACACCTGCTACATGGCCAACCTTCCGGCGGTTGTACTGGTTGGATATGATGCGGTGAAGGAGGCATTGGTGGACCGCAGCGATGTGTTCAGCAACAGAGGAGAAGTCGAGGCAGTCCATATATTATTCAAAAGTTATGGTAAGGAGAGAACTATGATAAACATTTAAACATACTGTATCTCATGGTGCATGCTTGATGGGGCATACCACAGTGCATGGTGGTCATTTTGTGCAGTCTTTGATTGGGGTAGGCATGCGTACTTAATAGATTGCTGGCTGGCAATGCATGTCGTAATGATATATATGAATAAATCATAAGGCTTCTTACATGACAGTTTTTTTAATATTGCAGAATAGGAACACACTCAGAATCTCTTCATTAGCATAGCAGATAAGCGTGTAAAGTTCCATATGCTCATTCACCATATAAGCATACCAATCATTTTCTTAGCAATTTCTCTCTGCTCTTGTGCATTTCCTTTTGGTAAACCAAGTCTCCTGTAAAATTATAAAAGACTGAGATAATGTTAAAATGATATACAGTTGCAAGAAAAAGTATGTGAACCCCTTGGGATTACGTGGAGTTTTGCATGAATTGGGCATAAAATGTGCTCTGAACGTCATCTAAGTCACAACAATAGAAGAACACAGTCTGCTGAACATAATACTACACAAACATTAGATGTTGCCATGGTTTAATTGTACATAACATGTAAACATTCACAGTGCAGGGAGGAAAAAGTATGTGAGGCCCTAGCTTAATGACTTCTCCCAGAGCTAATTGGAGCCAGGAGTGAGCCAACCTTGACTCCAATCAGTGTGATGATATTGGATGTGTTGCTGACAGCTGTCCTGCCCTTAAAAAACACACACCTGTTTTGGGTTTACTGGTTTCAAGAAGCACTGTCTGACGTGAACCATGCCTCGCAGAAAAGAGCTCTCAGAAGACCTACGATCAAGAATTGTTGACTTGCATGAAGCTGGAAAGGGTTACAAAAGTATCTCCAAAAGCCTTGATGTTCATGTGTCCACGGTAAGACAGACTGTCTACAAATGGAGAAAGTTTAGCACTGTTGCTGCTCTCCCTAGGCGTGGTCGTCCTGTAAAAATGACTGCAAGAGCACAGCGCAGAATGCTGCATGAGGTAAAGAAGAATCCCAGAGTGTCAGCTAAAGCCCTACAGAAATCTCGGGCACATGCTAACATTTTTGTTGACACATCTACAATAAGGAGAACATTAAACAAGAATGGAGTACATGGGAGGACACCACGGAGGAAGCCATTGCTGTCCAAAAAGAATATTGCAGCATGTTTGAAGTTTGCAAAAGAGCACCTGGAAGTTCCACAGCACTACTGGCAAAATATACTGTGGACAGATGAAACCAAGATTGAGTTGTTTGGGAAGAACACACAACACTATGTGTGTAGAAAAAAAAGGCACAGCACACCAACATCAAAACTTCATCCCCACTGTGAAACATGGCGGAGGGAGCATCATGGTTTGGGGCTGCTTTGCTGCCTCAGGGCCTGGACGGATTGTTGTCATTGATGGGAAAATGAATTCCAGAGTTTATCAAGACATTTTGCAGGAAAACGTACGACCATCTGTCCGCCAACTGAAGCTCCGCAGAGGATGGGTGATGCAACAGGACAATGACCCAAAGCATACAAGTAATTCAACAAAACAATGGCTGCAACAGCACAGAATATGCCTTCTGGAGTGGCCCAGTCAGAGTCCTGACCTCAACCCCATTGAAATGCTGTGGCATGACCTTAAGAGAGCGATTCACACCAGACATCCCAAGAATATTGCTACACTGAAACAGTTTTGTGAAGAGGAGTGGTCCAAAATGACTCCAGATCGTTGTGCAGGTCTGATCTGCAACTACAGGAAACGTTTGGTTGAGGTTATTGCTGCCAAAGGAGGGTCAACCAGTTATTAAGTCCAAAGGTTCACATACTTTTTCCTCCCTGTACTGTGAATGTTTACATGTTATGTGCAATTAAACCATGGCAACATCTAATGTTTGTGTAGTATTATGTTCAGCAGACTGTGTTCTTCTATTGTTGTGACTTAGATGACGTTCAGAGCACATTTTATGCCCAATTCATGCAAAACTCCACGTAATCCCAAGGGGTTCACATACTTTTTCTTGCAACTGTATAGTTTTATTTTATATCCAAACTGTGTAAGCTCTAATTGGAACCAAGGTGTCTACATGTGTAAAACTTTGCAGTGCTTGGGTACTAGCTGTGAGTTCCTTATGGGGATTCTTAAGCCAGCCATAGATGGTTTGAATCTCAGCCAGTTCAGCAGGGAATGGCCAGGACTCAAACCATCTATGGGCAGACTAATTGTACCCAATTTGATTGTTGTACGATTATTGCCAGTGACCATAGCCACTAGCAATAATCCCTATGTTCTCCTGGCAGGGACGACTCCCAGCAACACCTCCACCAGAAAAAACACAGTACCTCGGTTGAAGGGATTCCCCCATCAACATTGACAATGTTGATTGGGGAATCAACCAATTTTCTTTCCTGCGATTCATGGTTGCAGGAAAGAAAATCGCATCATCTATGGCCTGTCTTACTACATGGAGTTGCATGTTCTTACTATGTTTGTGTGGATGTGGCCTGCTTCCTTGCCAAAGCACCATAACCTTATAAAAGTAGAACCCTCTGTCCAGGTGTTTCAGCAGTACGTGTTTTTTGCTATAAATCTTCATGTACCTGTCAATGGAAATGTTTCACAGTAAAATCTGCATTACTGTTGAATTAGGTGTTTGGGCCCAAAAGCCAGTCTCAGCTATGCATCCATAATGATCACCAAAAAAAGGCTGCACACTGGTCACATCGCTCCAGTTACAGTATGTTCATTCTGCAAACTGGCTTCCTAGTGGTGCCCACCTATGGCTATTCCTCTCTAACCTCTACCTCTATGAAAGCCCAAAAAGGGTGAAACACATCAGAGGGAAGTTGCAATAGATGGGGACCACCAGTAAGCCAGTTGGTGGAATCATCAGTGTGTGGTCGTTTTTGGATGAATGTTGTAATCTGTATTACTCACTCTTGCCACTACCACTTACATTGTACAAAGCAATGGGAGCAGATCCCACTACATAAATCAAGAGTATTAATATTCATTCACTGACTAAAATGTCCATAGTATGAATATCCAGAATACAGAATTCCTGGCAGTTTACCTTCTTTTAAGTGTCTTGCCAAGAAACTCAACAAACACTCACTGTTAGTCAATTACCTATAAGCATTACCGTTGACTTAAACCTGAACTCCAGGTATGATCATGATTGCATATTTACATTGGTCCAGCTTATACCTGAGGGACCACCATGGAAGTTGAAAATCACTGTAGCTTTTGCACAGACTACTACAGATATTGTCAGTTACCACAGGGGTCCCTACAGTGATTACCACAATCAGTTGTGGTGATTACTGTAGGGACCATTGTGGAACGTTCAGTGTACCGACCACAGGGGCTCACCTGCTGGGTAACCATCGCTGTTCACAGAACAGTATTTTTTCAATGAATACAAGACATTCCTTGACTGGTCAAGGTGGAGAGGAGGGATGGCGACTTTAAAGAAATAGCTTTAAGCCTAAATTGGGTGAAAGTTTTATTTTAATTGGGACTGGGTTGTCCTGACAAATTACAATATTCAAACTACCTTTTTCCATCAAAACATTGACAGAAAGCCAAAATCTAGTTGTTTCTTAAAGGCACAGATTTGTTCTATTTCATATATTTTGATCTGAGGCCACTTGTCTAGTCTCATAAGCTCCATCCATAATGCTTACATATTCATATTTGATAAGCTTGTGGCCATTGCAATTTGTAGACAAACACTCTCCTGCAATGATCTAGGGATTGTCATGAGTAATGGAGAAAGATGGAAGACAATGAGGCGCTTTGCTCTAATGACCTTGAGAAATTTCGGAATGGGGAAGAGAAGCATTGAAGAGCGGATTCAGGAAGAGGCTCAGAACCTGAGAGAGCAATTCATGAAAGAAAAAGGTAGGTGATAGAGATGAGGTCAATTTGTTGATTTTCAACTATCATTCCTCAGATACATAGCAGAAAATAAAATTGGCTTCCTTTCCTTTATTTGTACCTTTCATATACTTCTAGCGAAGGGCCCTCGTTCTATAATTCTTTGGGTTCCTGGACATGCCCAGGGAGTATAAATTTCTCATGTTCCCCAGCTCAGCTTAGACAGTCCTCATCTGATGAGGCAGAAGTGGCCGGGTAAATGACTTGCAGCCAGGTGGGAGGCCCTCCATGGTCAGAACTGGCAAGCAGGTAGTCAGGCCAGAGCCTTATAACTTGCAGCTTCTCCAAAAGTCTCAACAACTGTGGGGGAGGCCCTTCCTAATTGCTACCAGAGTACTCCAGTACCAGTGGTGTGGCCCTATGTCTGTGGATTCCTTCAGCTGTCTACCTGTTGTCAGAGCTACCCGGAACTTCACTGTGAGGGACGGTGTTTATGAGGATAATCACAAATAGCTGTCTTATGTACTATTTTACTAAAGTGGTGATTCTCAGCTTGACTCTCTGTTGTTGTAGTGTCTTACAGAGACAATTCTATACAGTCCCATCTTAACCTGATTGAGTCAGAAACATTGCTGGTAAAAGTTCATGTTTGCGTAGTTTCCATAGATTTCTGTAGCTTTAATTTTTATGCAGTATATGCATGTTTTTTTGCCACCCGAAACCTGTTTTGCCATATTGCTTCTAATTCTGCACCTATTTAGAAAATTGCAAGTTACAGTTATGCCTTACAAAGATGGACTGAAATTCGAACAGTCCAAGAGGAACCACCCAGATGTTGTTCCATCTATGGGCAGGCTAGTTGTACTGAAGTCAGTCTGTTGATTACCTTCAGTATAACCAATCTGACATGTTTTTTCATGAAATCACTGCTGGCAACTATAGCTACCAGATTTTATCATTGTATTCTGCTGGTAGGGAACGCTCCCAGCCAAATAAACACAATAGTGCTGCCGGAGGACACGCTGACTGTGTTGATGGGGAATCAAGCAATTTTCTTTCCTTCAACCTATGTTTGATTGAAAGAAAATTGCAATAATATATGGCTAGCCTTATTTTCTGATCATTCATCCGATTACCTATTCTGTCAAATACATTTTGTGAATGTTGTATGAGATGACCTCTTTTGTATATAATACAGTTTTGTTCTGACACTAGAATTAAAGTAGAAACAATAGGAAAGTCCTCTTCCTGCCTGGTAGATCTGATTGCTCAGGGATTTTGTATTGTATTATGCACTTGCTTTCATCTTCTTCAACACAAACCTATATAGTGGCGTAACCATATGAAGAGTGACTAGCCTTTTCTCTTTGACAACAGACACTCCATTTGACCCAACATATCTAATGGGATTAGCTGTCTCCAATGTCATCTGCTCTGTTGTGTTTGGAAAGAGATTTGATTATGAGGACAAAAAGTTTATGACCCTTCTGGAATACATCAGAGAGATCTTCATGAGAATGAACTCCAAATCTGGTCAGGTGAATATATAGTGGCAAAGCTGGAATACATTCTTGGATAGTTGCATGCATTCAGCTTTGAAGTGCATTTTATAAACCTTTAATACCATTATAATTTGTAAAGATACTCAGAGAAATGAAACAATTGTCACCTAAACCATTTTATTTTGGTCAGATAGATTCAGATCAGGTTGATTTATTGGCATTTTATATTAAAACTATATTTTTGTTTTAGCTCTTGGGCATGTTCCCAAAATTGCTGAGTAAGCTTCCTGGACCCCATCAGAAATTGTTTATCAATTTTGAAAACCTGCGGGCATTTGTGAGAGAATCAGTGAAGTCCCACCGAGAAGTTCTGGATCAGAACTGTCCACAGGATTTCATAGACTGTTTCCTCATAAAAATGGAAGAGGTGAGTTCAAGAATTGACTGAAACTGGTGATGGAATGTTTATGAAGTGTTGTCTCTTTTATGTGGAGTCTTTAAAGAAGAATTGGAACTAGCACAAATACTTTTAGGAAAGGTAGCCTATAGGTCCCCATCACACGACTGTTCTGATAAGACCAGCCTATCAGTTTTTTTAGGCGGACCTGGTCGGTCGGTCCATTCAGCCCTATGGATTCATGGGAGTCTGCCCTGTGCGAAAGGGGCCACAGAGTATTTTCAGAGGTAAAAAAAAACTGTACACATAAAGAAGGTTTTTAAAATATGTTTATAATATTATAATTTACATGGTGATCAGTTTCAAATAAATACCTAATTTTTTTTTGTAATTGTAAATTTTTATTGAGGGTCAAATACCCAAATTTTAGAACAGTACACAATTTCAACAAGAACATATTGTGTTTAAACATTACAGTGACAAAAATCTATCATCGGCTTAGAAATAAGCAAGGTTAAGAAAAACAGGAACATATATGAACAGCACGTCATTCAGTACTCTATAAGAACATGAATCATAAACCTGCACATCTTCAAACTACAGTGGTTTACATTATAAGTCAGAGGCATACTACTTATAATATAGTGTCCAGACTATATAAGAGGGAATGATAGAGAAGATGAAAGGAATTTACCAAAAGGAGAGTGCTCCCATGCCCCCCAAATAGAGTGGAAAATACCAGAGTGTTCACCCACTAGAGCCGTAAGATATTCCATTTCCCTTATTTCAGAGATCGCTCCCAAGAGATCCTTTTGCGATGGTATATCTGCTGATTTTCAAAAACGTGGTATCACTCTTCTGGCAGCTGTCAAAATGTGAACCCCCAACCGTTTAGATGGTTTGGGGATATCCCTAAAGGGTAGACCCAGGAGATAATGTAGTGGATCTAGGGGCAGGACAACATTAAGTACTTGTTCCAATACCATTTGAACCACAAACCCAATATCCCATAATCTGCAGGCAGAACCAAAAGATGTGCGACAATGTACCCACTCCTTCTACACATCTCCAGCATTTATCAGAGAAACTTGAGTTAATTTCAGGAAGTACTACAGGAGTCTTATACCAATGCAAAAATGAAAACCGGCTTTATGATGACTTAAACTTTTAATGTTTTTTAGTTTTTGCAAAAAATTTGCTAGAACCCCCAAACGTTATATATTTTTTTAAACAATGGCAGGTGCTCCTTTTCGAGAAATATGGGGTTAATAAGACCCCAGATCCCTCTTCTGCCCTTGATCACACCAAAATCAAGTGATCAAATGCTATCCATTTTTAAAAATGCCGGGGAAACCGGTGTTGATGTATGGTCATTGCTTCCTTTTTTCTATATCATACAGGTGGACAGAGTGGTTCTGGTTGTGAGGCGGCTGGTTGACCGGGTGTCCCATGGAACAGGATGGGACAGCTCGCCAGGGCTTTTTTTCTCAGAAAGTAGGTGCAGGAACTCAACCACGCCCTCACCTCTCCACAGCCTAACAGTGGTAGGGTCCTAATGGAGCATTGTTAAATACCAGTAGTGCATACTGCATGGGGCAGGGTTCAGGAGTGCACTGCGTACAGAGTTCAGGAGTGCACTGTGTACAGAGTGCAAAGTTCAGGAGTGCAATGTGTACAGAGTGCAGGGTTCAGGAGTGCATTGCGTACGGAGTGCAGAGTTCAGGAGTGCACTGCGTACAGAGTGCAGGGTTCAGGAGTGCGCTACGAACAGACTGCAGGGTACATGAGAGTGCAGAGTTCATGAGTGGTACAGAGTTCAAAATGCCGCTCTCAGGAATGCATATCTCACAGGACAGTTTACAACCCCCCCTTCTAGTACAGAGCCCTCCACCCACCTCCAAATCCTCTCTACCCACCTACAGAGTATCAGAGAGAGGGGCTGCTGCAGGAGAGCAGCTACAACTTACAGTAGGAGTGAAATGTTAAGTGGGGAGAGGGGGCATTGGTGCTAAGGGGTGATAGGGGATGACATTGGTGCCAAGTTAATGAGGCATTGGTGCTAAATGGGGGAGGGGGAAATATGCTAATTTATAATGTGGGGTAGAGGGGGGACATTGAGGATTAGGGGAGGGAGAGGAGGAACATTGGGGATAAGTGGGAGAAGAGGGGGGCATTTGGGATAAGTGGGAAAAGAGGAGGACATGTGGGAGAAGAGGGGGACATTGGAGATAAGTGGGGAAGAGGGAGGGCATTAGGGATAAGTGGGGGGAGAGAAGGGATATTTGGGATAAGTGGGAGAAGAGGGAGGAAACTGGGGATTAGTGGGGGGGGAATTGGGGTTTAGTGGAGGGGGAGGAAAATTGGAGAGAAGTGGAGGAGAGGGGGCATTTGGGGTAGGTGGTGGGGAGAGGGGGGAAGGGGACATTTGGGATAAGTAGTGGGGAGAGGGGAGACATTTGGGGATAAGTAGAGGGAGATGAGGAACATTGGGGATAAGTGGGGGAGAGGGGGACATTTGGTATAGGTGGGGGGGGGAGAGGGGGACATTTGGGATAAGTGGTACACCCATTCCTGGAACAGCAGAGGAGCAGAGCTCTGAGCAATAGGTGCACAGGCTGGAGGCGGCTCAGTGTCCCAGGACTGACAACCAATAGGAAGAAGCCAGGAAAGTGTGCATTCACTTCCTTCGGAAAGGGAAGCAAAACTCACAGTGCTGGCTTTTCATTGCAGAAGATGATTAGCTGCAGTAGAGTGCAGGGCGAGGACAGGTTGTAATATGATTCAGGATTAAGAGATAAAAAGGGATGTTTCATAGGAGACAGGAGTCTGTGTGTACTCGCTCAGAACGGCAGCCGCACTGAAGGAAACACCTCTCCCCCGCCCTCTCCTCTGCTGTCATGTGCAGAGCAGCGAGGGGTTTGTGCTGTTGGACTAGAAGCTAGGCTTCTCTGTCTTCAGCTTCTGCCGCTGCCGGAGTAGCCCGCAGCAGGGCTAAATGTAGAACAAAACTTCTTGCCCGGTGCCCAGAATTGAATGTCCCAGGCAACGGGCGATAGGAATTAAACATCCTTGATATGGGCACTGATTCAAGGGATCACTCCTAATCTTGGAACTCTAAGGGGTCACTCCTAATCTTGGAACTATAAGGGGTCACTTCTGCTCTGCACTGTGTACTGCTCACTGCCCTCCACTGTATTCTGCTCACTCTCCCATCCCCCCCACTGTATGCTGCTCACTGTCCCCCTAATGTATAATGCTCACTGCCTCCCCCAACAAAGTATTGTTTTACTCAGTCCTGACCGCCACACATTATACGCTGCATAGTGCTGACTCCTTCACTCTGTATGCTTTGTTGTATTTTTCACAATGAAGGGGGCACACTGACTGCTATAATCCTGGAGGTGAATATTATATATAACGCTGCCACCTCCTCTTCACTCCCCCTCTCTGTTGGGGTTCCTCAAGATTTTGTCCTCGGGGCCCCTTCTCTTCTCCATCTACACCTCCTCCCTTGGCCAATTGATACACTCTCACGGCTTCAACTACCATCTCTATGCCGATGACACGCAAATCTATCTCTCTACCCCTCACCTCACCCGTTCAGTCTCTGCCCATATCACAAGCCTAATGAGCAACATATCGGATTGGATGTCATTCCACTTCCTCAAACTAAATCTCTCCAAAACTGAGCTCCTAGTTTTCCCCCCAGCCCGTGCCCCCCCGACGTCTCCATCAAGACCAACAACACCACCATCAGTCCCTCCCCTCAAGCCAGAGTACTAGATGTCATCCTAGACTCCAATCTGTCCTTCCAGCCCCAGATCCAATCGCTGACAAACTCATGTAGACATCACCTCCGCAACATCTCCAAAATACGTTTGTTCCTAACCCCGAAAACCACTAAGCAACTCATTCACTCCCTCATTATATCACGCCTCGACTACTGTAACTCCCTCCTCATCAGCTTACCTCACCGCAGGCTATCCTCGCTTCAGTCTATCTTGAATGCTGCGGCCAGACTCATCCACCTTACTAACCACTCCGGATCCTCCACCCCTCTCTGCCAATCCCTCCACTGGCTTCCGATTGCTCAACGGATAAAATTCAAAATGCTAACATTGACGTATAAAGCTGTTCATAATACTGCCCCAAACTACATTACCGATCTGGTATGTACTCTCCGCTCCTCACAAGACCTCCTACTCTCTAGTTCCCTGGTCTCCTCCTCCCATGCCCATCTCCAGGACTTCTCCAGGGCTTCCCCCATCCTCTAGAACTCCCTACCCCAATCCATCAGACTATCACCTACTCTCCTCACCTTTAGGCGCTGTAAGGGACCGCCCGGCGGTACCACTAGCACTCCACTGATCGGATGTTCCCAGCGCACGGAGTCTAAGCCCCAGAGTACTTGTTCACCAGGGCCCCTGATGGTGGGGATGGACTTGGAGTACCCCAGGACCAGGTCGTGACTACTGAGGACACCCGTCAGTGGTAGTGGTATTCACCAGGGGCTCCCACGGGAGAGAGCCAGGTATGAGGAGGTCTGGAGACCCCGTTGAGAGGGACGGATGGATGGATGGCTGAGCAAGTGCAAGGTCATACAAGCCGGGTCGGTAACTATGGGGACGGTGCGGTACAGAGCAGCGGGTAAAGAATAGTCGGGTCACACGCCAGGTCAGCAACAGCAGGTCAGATCCAATAGGGGGCATTCAGGAGAGAGGTCAGGCAAGCAAGGGTCAAGAACAGGAGAAAACAGCAAGGTCAGGGCACAATCCGGGTCAGCAACTTACTTTAAACAGGTTTACAGGTTCACAGGATTCAAGAGATCAAAAGGCACTGAATGACAGTTCAGGGCCGTTTAAATATCCCGCCCTGCGCTGTCATTGGTGCCAGGCGCGCGCCCGTGGTCTCTACTGCGCATGCGCGAACCTGATTGCCGCGGTCGGCCAAGTCCCGGCGCCCGCGTACAGGGAGGTGTACTGCGCCTGCGCCGAGCCCAGCGGCGCGGCGATCTCCGACAGGCGCATTCTGAAAACCCATCTCTTCAGGGAAGCCTACCGCGCTCTCAGATAATTACTGAACTCCTTCACTATTCCTACCACTCCATTCCCCCACAGCTATTTCCTCCTGTACCACTATCCCCTCCCTCCTAGATTGTAAGCTCCAAGGAGCAGGGCCCTCGAACCCCTTGTGTATTGAATCATATTGTTACTGTACTGTCTCGTGTACTGTCTCCCATTATAATGTACAGCGCTGAGCAAACTGTTGATGCTATATAAATCCTGTATAATAATAATATATTGTTGGGGTTAATTGTGTGGTTCAGGTAGTTACTAATGCACATTCCTAGGGGTTAATTACTGTGCTGTGCTAGGGTTCATTACTGTGCCATTTGTTGGGATTTAATTGTTGTGCCATGCTAAGGGTTAATTATTGTGAAATATTGGAGGTTTATTGATTGTGGTTTATTATTGTGCCATGCTTACAGATATACTGAGAGTAAGATTCAATGAACTAGCACGACGCTCCAGAGTGCCGTGGTAGTTCACTGAAAACTACAAGCCAAGAGTCGCTAAGGCTGTTGGGACTTGCAGTGTATTTTTTCACGAAACTCTGTGAATGAATGATGCTGCTGTGTGGGTGGAGCCTGGCATGGCCGTGCTGTTGTCAAATCTGACAGCTAGTATGGGGGAACTCCTCCCCATACTTCTGTCAGAGGGAGGATGGAGCCAAGGGCGGTGGCTGCAGCACTGGGAGCTTAATACATGTTCCACCCTAAAACAGGTGGAACATGTAACTTGTTCCCATAGGTGAACTTATCCTTTAACTGAAACAGAGGTTTAAATCTGGATGAGGAACAGTCAAACTCTGCTACTAAGGTGAGAGTGTGGAAGACAGTTTCATGTCACAGGTCATACACCATGGCAAGAATGAGCACAGCAACAAGACACAAGGTTATACTGCATCAACAGGGTCTCTCCCAGGCAAATATTTCAAAGCAGACTGGGGTTTTAAGATGTGCTGTTCAAGTTCTTTTGAAGAAGCACAAAGAAATGGGCAAAGTTGAGGACTGTAGATGCAGTGGTTGGCCAAGATAACTTAATGCAGTAGATGAAAGACACATCATACTTACTTCTCTTGGACATCAGAAACCAGTGGGACCCAGGTACACCCATCTACCATCTGGACATCTTTGGGCAGAAGTGGTCTTCTTGGAAGAATTGCAGCCAAAAAGCCATATGTGGAAACAACGCAATGCAACTCAACTATGCATGAAAATATAGGAAAAGGGTTGCAAAAAATTGGCAACAGGTGCTCTGGACTGATGAGTTAAAATTTGAAGTATTTGGCAGTCCTCAACATCATTGATTCTGTCTGGGATTACATGAAGAGACAGAAGAATATGAGGCAGCCTACATCCACAGAAGATCTAAGATGTTTGGAACAGCCTACCTGCCGAGTTCCTTCAAAAATTGTGTGCAAGTGTACCTAGAAAACGGGATGCTTTCTGACTTTCAAAGAGGAGGATCTTATATCACCTTTGAGATGCTACGCATACTTTTTGATATCCCGCTTCATGAATATTATCGTTATCGACAGATTAGACATTTTTTAAATTCACATTTTGGTCTTATACCCTCATCTCCGATTTCGTTCTTTGAACAAATTAGTCGTGACTCTCCTAGGGGCAAGGGTCTTATCTCTGATTTGTATCACCAATTCCCTGGGTAGTTCCTTTCCCACATCCCCTCTATATAGACAAAAATGGGAAGCTGATAGTGGTATCACCTTTTTGGATGAGGATTGGAATTCCATGGTGGATAACATACGAAAGCGTTCTAGATCCCTCTCTGTCCGTGAGACAGCCCTCAAGGTTTAAACCAGATGGTATTATACCCCATCTAGACTACACGCCCTGTATCCACGGACGTCCCATCTATGCTTCCGGGGATGTGGCCTTACTGGTACTCTGGTGCATACATTCTGGGCTTGCCCAATCCTCTCCTTGGTGTGGCGCAGGATCTCTGAGATAGCTCCTGCACTGGTGGGTGCCCCAGTACATCTGACTATGCAGTCTTGCCTATTGGGAGCTCATATCCCGGGGGTTCAGACTGAGGTTATGGGGATAATTCATACTATTTGTATATCCACCCTGTGGGCTATCTCCCTACACTAGAAATCTATTACAGTACCATTGGCCTCTGTTCTACATAGAGTTGATGCTGTGATGCTCATGGAAAGAATTCATTATACTGTGCTGGATGCACTCATTTTATAGAAAATGGGAAATTTGGAGAACTCATAGACATTTACTACATGACTAAGGGCAATCCTTATTTGGGTTAATTGACTTACTCTGTTGGTAGATGTATAACTCTGCCTACCTCTTTATTTATATTGCTCATGCACCTAAACTCTATTCTCTCCTCTTCTTTTCTCTTTACTTTTTCTTTACTCTATATGATTGTGCCTTTTTGAAATGTACACTTCAGTTGTACCTTGTTACTGTTTTAAACACTGTTTGAAGCTGTAATGTCACCTTACAGTTTATTTCTTGAAAAATAAAATTATTTGTAAACAAAAAAGAAAAAGGAATGCTGTTTTGAAGTCAAAGGGTGGTCACACCAAATATTGGATTTGATCTGTATTTCTCTTCTGTTCATTTCCTTTCCATTTTGTTAATTAATAAAAATAAATTATTAACATTTCTATTTCTGAAAGCATTCTTAATTGACAACATTTTTTCACACCTGCTTAAAACTTTTGCGCAGTAGTGTAAGTGAGCATGTGTATTTATAACACAATTGTAGTGCTACCCTTGTTATGGTTAAATCAATGAAAGGGGGGTATTTCCTTCCTATGTTCAAAGAAAGATGCTGGACTGTTCTGTTCTTGAAAGCTGTCAGTCATTGCGGATCAATAGCAACAGACCTTTCTGGGTTTGGAACTAGCAGCCCCTCAAAAATCATCTTAACTTCTCATAACTACATGCAGGGATGTCTTCTCTCCCCTTGTAGATTTGCTCCCAGCTCCATGCCCTGCCAACACTACCAGCCCTCCTGGCTTCTCAGATGATCTCCCAGGACAAAGACACAGGACTGAGCCCAGCACTGCCCTTAGAAAGCTTGCTGTGTGTGGCAGTCTTTCCCCTTGTGGTTCCCACACACTGCTACTGTACTCACTTTGTCCTCTTTGCTCCCTGCTGCTCCAGGTCTTGATCCCATTCACGCCTCACTGCTGAATGTATCTTCCTGAGCCAGCCCAAGCCAAGCCTGGAGGCTGCCCCCCCCCCCCCCCTAGATCTAGTGGACTCCTCCTAGGCACCAACAGTCTTCCATCTTCCACTCGACTCCTCTGTCAGCCTGACTCTCCCATATTTATGGGCCAGCCCACCACTCTATAAGGGCCTCCAAACCTGGGATTGGCCAGACTCCCATGAACATGCAGATCAGGTCTCCACCCTTCCTGCTTACTGACTTCTGAAAGGTTTTATGGTCCTCCAGAGTCAGGAGGTGGCAATAGAACCACAACCTGTTGAGTCATCCAGCTGACCTGCAATATACCAACATCAATTACAGACTCACACAATTATCATGAGTCATATGCAATGATTTTAGCTACAATACACTACACTATTCTAGTAGCACACTAGAGGGTGCTACACAATAAACATACCCATGTACCACTAAGTGTTACCTGTGTGTTTGTATTTCAGGAGAAGCAAAACCCAAATACAGAATTTCATGCGGAAAACCTATTGGGATCAGTACTTGACTTGTTCTTTGCTGGTACAGAAACTACAAGCAATACTCTGAGATATGCTTTTATAATAATGATGAAACATCCAGAGATACAAGGTATTACCTTTGCTTCTTATGCAATATTTGTTGCTCTAAATCCATATTTGGCACTACTGTCTACATGATAGCTTTGATAAAAGAACTGTTCTTTGTACTAAAAAGGATAAAATTAAAGCGGTGTAATCAACCCCTATGGAGGCACTCAGCAAGGGGGAGGGGCCAGGAGCGCCAGCAGGGGACCTGAGAATCAGAGCTGCTTTGTGCAAAACCACAGAGCAGATAAGTATAACATATTTGTTATTGAAAAAAAAATAAAAGGATTTCCTTTAGAATTATTATTATTATACAGTATTTATAAAGTGCCAATGGTTCGCTCAGCGCTGTACATTACAAAGGGGACAGAACATGTGACAGAACAATACCAATACAATGCAAAACATGAGGGGATGAGGACCCTGCTCTTTCGAGCTTACAATCTAGGAGGCAGGGGATGGTGGCACAGGAGGAGATAGCTGTGGGGGATGGAGTGGTAGGAAGAGTGGAGGAGGTCGGCAGGTTAGCAGGGGGTGGGGTAGGCTTCCCTGAAGAGATGGGTTTTCAGGGTGCGCCTAAAGGAGAGGAGAGTAGGTGATAATCTGATGGGTTGGGGCAGGGAGTTCCAGAGGATGGGTGACACCCTGGAGAAGTCCTGGAGGCGGGCATGGGAGGAGGAGACCAGGGAACTAGAGAGAAGGAGGTCTTGTGAGGAGCGGAGTGTGCGTGCTGGGCGGTACTTGGATATTAGGTCAGTGATGTAGTATGGGGCAGTATGGTGGACAGCTTTGTACGTCAGTGTTAGGATTTTGAATTTGATCCGTTGCGCAATCGGAAGCCAGTGGAAGGATTGGCAGAGGGGGGTGGCGGAGATGGAGCAGTTGGAAAGGTGAATGAGTCTGGCAGCCGTATTCAGGATGGACTGAAGCGGGGATAGCCAGCGGCGAGGCAGGCCAGTGAGGAGGGAGTTGCATTAGTCGAGTCGTGATATGATGAGGGAGTGGATGAGCTGTTTAGTGGTTTCTGGGGTTAGGAACGTGTGTATTTTGGCGATGTTGCGGAGGTGGAGTCTGCACGAGTTTGTTAAAGATTGGAATTGGGGCTGGAAGGATAGGTTGGAGTCCAGAATGACACCAAGTACTCTGGCCTTCGGGGCGGATTTGATGGTGGCGTTGTTGGATGTGACAGAGAAGTCAATGGGGGGTGATGTCCGGGCTGGGGGGAAGACAAGAAACTCGGTTTTGGAGAGGTTCAGTTTAAGGAAGTGGAGCGACATCCAGTCTGATATGTCGCTCAGTAGGTGTGTGATTTGGGAGGAGACCGCGGGGGTGAGGTGGGGGGTTGAGAGATAGATTTGTGTGTCGTCGGCATGGAGGTGGTAGTTGAAGCCGTGAGAGTGTATGAGTTGGCCAAGGGAGGAGGTGTAGATGGAGAAGAGAAGGGGACCGAGGACAGAGCCTTGAGGGACCCCAACAGAGAGGGGGAGTGAGGGGGAGGTGGTAGCATTATAGGTAACGCTGAAAGAGCGTTGTGACAGGTAGGATGAGAGCCAGGAGAGAGCAGAATCTCTGAGGCCAAGGGAGTGTAGTTTTTTGAGGAGGAAGGGGTGGTCGACTGTGTCGAAGGCCGCAAAGAGGTCAAGGAGTAGGAGCACTGAATAATGGCCATTAGCTTTGGCGGTTAGCAGGTCGTTGGAGAGTTTGAGTAAGGCAGTTTCGGTGGAGTGTAGGGGACGGAAGCCGGACTGTAGGGGATCGAGGAGGTTGTTGTCGTTGAGGTGAGAGCTTAGGCAGGTGTAGACTAGGCGCTCGAGGAGTTTAGATGTAAATAGAAGCAGGGAGATGGGTCTGAGGTTGTTCGGGTTATTGGGGTCCAGAGAGGGCTTTTTAAGTATGGAGGTAATGTGTGCATGTTTCAGAGGGGAGGGGAAAGTGCCGGAGGAGAGGGAGAGATTAAAGATGTGGGTGAGGGAGCGTAGGATGGAGGGGGAGGGAGGTCGTAGGAGTTGTGAGGGGATAGGGTCGAGGGGGCAGGTGGTGAGGCGGGCATCAGAGAGGATCTTGGAGACTTCCTCGATGGTAGTAAGGTCAAAGGTGCGGAGTGTTGGGGGGGCTTCAGTATGAGGAATGTAGGGTGGGGTGGAAGTGGGGGTCAGAGCAGTGGTGGGGCCGTGGGAGAGGGTGATGAGGGGGTAGTTGAGTGAGGGGGAACGGGGTTGGAGGGAGTTTGAGCAGCAACGAAGTCCCTGCGGGTTATGTCGAGGGAGAGAGGGGGATGAGGAGAATCACTTTAATGTTCATTTAAATTGGAAACAGTAGCCATGTCATCACCAGGCCCTCACTTGATCTGATTACATAGCAATGAGGTACACTATATTGCCAAACGTACTGGGCTGCCTGCCTTTACATGCTCATGAACTTTAATGGCATCCCAGTCTTAGTCCGTAGGGTTCAATATTGAGTTGGCCCACCATTTCCAGCTACAACAGCTTCAACTCTTCCGGGAAGGCTGTCCACAAGATATAGGAGTGTGTCTATGGAAAGGTTTGACAATTCTTCCAGAAGCGCATTCGTGAGGTCAGGCACTGATGTTGGACGAGAAGGCCTGGCTTGCAATCTCCACACTAAATCATCCCAAACATGTTCTATCGGGTTGAGGTCAGGAGTCTGTGCAGGCCAGTCAAGTTCCTCCTTCCGAAACTTGCTTATCCATGTCCTTATGGACCTTGCTTTATTCCCACAATGTTGGGAACATGAAATTGTCCAAAATGTATTGGTATGCTGACGCCTTAAGAGTTCCCTTCATTGGAACTAAAGGGCCAAGCCCAACCCCTGAAAAACAACCCCACACCATAATCCTGCCTCCACCATACTTTACATTTGGCACAATGCAGTCAGGCAAGAACTGTTCTCCTGTCAACTACCAAACCCAGATACGTCCATCAGATTGCCAGAGAAGTGGGATTCGTCACTTCAGAGAACACGTCTCCACTGCTCTAGAGTCCAGTGGCGGCATGCTTTACACCACTGTATCCAACGCTTTGCATTGCACTTGGTTTGTAAGGCTTGGATGCAGCTGCTCGGCCATGGAAACCCATTCCATGAAGCTCTCTATGCACTGTTGTGCTAATCTGAAGGCCACACAAAGTTTGGAGGTCTTTAGCTATTGACTCTGCAGACAGTTGGCGACTTCTACGCACTGTGCGCATGTGCTGACCCGCTCTGTCGTTTTACATGGCTTACCACTTCGTGGCTGAGTTGCCATTGTTTCCAGTTGCTTCCACTTTGGCATAATACCACTAACAGTTGACCGTGGAATATTTAGTAGCCAGGAAATTTCCCAGATGGACGTATTGCACAGGGGGCAACCTATCACGGGACCACGCTTGTATTCACTGAGCTCCTGAGAGCGACCCATTATTTCACAAATGTTTGTAGAAGCAGTCTACATGCCTAGGTGCTTGATTTTATACACCTGTGAGAATGGAGGTGATTGGAACACCTGAATCCAATGACTTGGAGGGGTGTCCCAATACTTTTAGCAATATAGTGTACAACATGTCTCTGTTACATAAACAAAGCATATCTTACCCTATAGCCACAGGATCAGCAGGCCAATCAAGGACTTACTGATTTAAGTGGTTCTAAACACAAACTTTTTTTTTTTACCTTAATGCATTCTCTGCATTAAGGTAAAAACCACTGCACTGCCATTTACCCCCCACCCAACATTTACCTGAGACCTCTATCGATCAAGCGCTATGCCTGACTGCAAGTCTACTTTTCCCTCTTCCTAGTCTCACAGGTTTTGTATATAGCCCAGCACACCCCCACCCCCTAGTAAAACACTCCCCTCACTCCTTTAACCCTTCCCTGCAAAATAAAGTTAACCCCTTCCTCCCCATTGCCATTAGTACAGTGTCAGTTTTTTTTCTTTGCACTGATCACTGTATTAGTGTTTTTGGGGATGTCAGTGACACCAAGTCAGTACCACCCCCAATGTCAGAATATCTGCCGCAGCCGTCCCGCCACAAGTCGCTGGTCGCTGCCATAAGTCCCTGATCGCCGCCATAATTCGCTAATCGCCGCCATTATTAGTATAAAAAAAAACCCTAAAAATCCCAATATCTTTCCCGCCATTTGTAAACACTATACCTTTCACGTAAACCAATTAATTTACATGTATTGGGGTTTTTTTTTAGCAAAGACATGTCGCAGAATGCATTTTGGCAGAAATTTTACTAAATTTGATTTTTGCATTTTTTTTTTTTACTGGACATGTTTTATAGCAAAAAAAGTCCAAAATATATTGTTTTTTTTTCCCTCAAAATTGTCAGCCTTTTTTTTATAGCGCAAAAAGTCCAAAATATTGTTTTTTTTCCCTCAAAAAAACGCGCACAGGCGATCAAATACCACCAAAAGAAAGCTCAATTTGTGGGGGAAAAAAAGGATGTAAATTTCATTTATGTACCGTATTGCATGACCGCGCAATTGTCCCGTTAAACCAGCGCAGCGCTGTATAGCAGAAAAATGGCGTAAGTTGCAGTATTTATACCATAGTTTGTAAATGCTATAACTTCCACACAAAGCAATCAATATACACTCATTGGGATTTTTTTTACCAAAAACATGTAGCAGAATACATTTTGTCCGAAATTTATAACCAACTTTGAGTTTACTATATATTTTTTATAGCTGAAAGTAAAAAATATTGTTTTTCTTCCAAATTTTTGACCTTTTTATGTTTATAGCGTGAAAAATAAAAAGCGCACAGATGATCAAATACCACCGAAGAAAGCTCTATTTGTGAGAAAAAAAGGACGTAAATTTAGTTTGGGTGCAGCATTGCATGACCGCGCAATTATCAGTTGAATTAGTGCAGCGCCGAGTAGCAAAAAGAGGCCCGGTCATTAAGGGGGGTAAATCCTCAGCAGCTCAAGTGGTTAATAGATAAAATGAGCTTGGAAAGGTAACCCCCTACAGGCTAATGTCTACGCTGTAGCTAAGCGTCTGTCATCTTACTCTTGTATCTTTTTTCAGTCTTTGTCTTGCTCTGGCATACTTTCTTTTTTTTTAATCCCTGACTTGTCTGACTATCCATTGAAGTTCCAATGCTCAGTTCTCCCACAGTTCTCTCATCATGTTTCTTTCATCTGTCTTAGAAGTTTCTCCTGTAGTTGTTCTGTTTTCTGTAGTATGTTATACATGGCTCAAGTCTGCCAGCATGTATTCTTCCATTTAAACTGTACTAAGCCAATGTTTCTAAACTTACAAATCATCACATGTGCTGGTGTTACAGGATTATCGGTGATCTGAATCCGCACGTTCCTAACTCCAGAAACCACTAAACAGCTCATCCACTCCCTCATCATATCACGACTCGACTACTGCAACTCCCTCCTCACTGGCCTGCCTCGCCACAGGCTATCCCCGCTTCAGTCCATCCTGAATACGGCTGCCAGACTCATTCACCTTACCAACCGCTCCATCTCCGCTACCCCCCTCTGCCAATCCCTCCACTGGCTTCCGATTGCGCAACGGATCAAATTCAAAATCCTAACGCTGACGTACAAAGCTGTCCACCATACTGCCCCGAACTACATCACTGACCTAATATCCAAGTACCACCCAGCATGCACACTCCGCTCCTCACAAGACCTCCTTCTCTCTAGTTCCCTGGTTTCCTCCTCCCATGCCCGCCTCCAGGACTTCTCCAGGGTGTCACCCATCCTCTGGAACTCCCTGCCCCAACCCATCAGATTATCACCTACTCTCCTCTCCTTTAGGCGCACCCTGAAAACCCATCTCTTCAGGGAAGCCTACCCCGCCCCCTGCTAACTTGCCGACCTCCTCCACTCTTCCTACCACTTCATCCCCCACAGCTATCTCCTCCTGTGCCACCATCCCCTCCCTCCTAGATTGTAAGCTTGAAAGAGCAGGGCCCTCGATCCCCTCATGTTTTGCATTGTATTGGTATTGTTCTGTCACATGTTCTGTCCCCCTTTGTAATGTACAGCGCTGAGCGAACTATTGGCGCTTTATAAATACTGTATAAATAAAAAAAATAAATAAATCTGAGTGCGAGGTATGACACAGATGCAGCCTGCAGTATTTGTGTCAAAGAGGAGAGCACAAAACACATGTGGCTTACTTGCATTCAGAGTTCAATGTGTTAAACAGAAATAGATCACATTATATAGATAATTACTTTCTTTATAGTGGCAGGCCATGTGGAAAATCACTTAAATTTGTATTAGAGAATTAGCATTACTAATATATAGGACACTAAACAGAGAAAGTGAATGTCAGAACAAACAAAAAACTGAACAAAGATAGCGTAAACAAAGTGTGACTAACCTGTATCAAAGAAGAAGAGCACAAAACATGTGTTGCTCACTTTCATCCCTGAGTTTAATGTGGGCTTGTTGGTATTAGTCTCCTGAAGTTACACTACTAATCATTAGAGCTCCCTCTAGCTGCACCTTAGTAATAGCATTGCTGGGAGGTATATTTATTTACTTGCCACACTGGTCATAATTATTATTATTTTTATATGAGGAATATTTCAAGTCATTTATTCTATGATTTTCAAACAACCTGCAGAAAAGGTTCAGAGGGAGATTAACACCGTGATTGGACAAGAGCGCCTTCCCTCTGTGGAGGACAGGAGCAAAATGCCATATACAGATGCCGTTGTGCATGAGATCCAGAGATTTGCCGATATTTTTCCTGTAGGATTATTACATGCTACCAGCAAAGACACCACCTTTCGAGGATACCACATTCCCAAGGTAATGGGAGAAATCCTTTGATATATTGTAATATTCATAAAAGAACATAATGCAAAGTACACTGATGCGTTTGTTGAGCAATACGTTTTCAGTCAAATTAAGTAAAGAAAGCTCAGCTAAGTAATTGGTGCGGGTATGGTGTTTGCCTAATGTTCTTTGGCATAGGTTAAAGTGTTTGTACATTTTTATCAGATAACACACAAATGGACTCTTGGCAGCAGGCTCCGCTATGCGCTGAGATATCATAGGTTTTGAATGACAAAAATTCAGAAAAGGAAAACAAGCTTTTATTTGTGCATGTGCTCCACACTGAGTGCAAACAAACGGGATGTCAGTCCACAGTGACAGGGGTGCCCCCTCACCTTCCTGCCCAGGCCCCTCAGGACCAATGAGCCAAAGAATGCTTAATTATTCCTCCACAGCCCGTCAGATCCTCCTCAGCAGTGGTGATGGGACCCTCTCATTAGCACTGAAACCGGAACCTCTCTACACACATTTCCAGCAAGGCAAAGAAATCCAGCATAGTGTAAAACCATTTATTGAGATAAAACTCTAATGCAAAATTCCAACTCACACTTTAGTAGTTACAAAATGACTTTTTCACCACGCTATGGGTGTACTGCATGCATGAACTCTGATAAGGTGTACCAAGATGGCCCCTACGCCGGACGTGACGTCACCGCGTCAGCCGCGTCACCGCTACGACTCCTCCCACGAACGTATCTACGCGTTACGTCACGATTGGACCACGTGACTTCATCAGGATATACCAGTCACGTGGTCCAATCGTCACGTAACGCGTAGATACATCCGGCGTAGGGGCCATCTTGGTACACCTTATCAGAGTTCATGCATGCAGTACACCCATAGCGTGGTGAAAAAGTCGTTTTGTAACTACTAAAGTGTGAGTAGGAATTTTGCATTAGCGTTTTATCTCAATAAATGATTTTACACTGTGCTGGATTTCTTTGCCTTGCTGGAAACGTGTGTGGAGAGGTTCCGGTTTCAGTGCTAATGAGAGGGTCCCATCACCACTGCTGAGGAGGATCTGACGGGCTGTGGAGGAATAATTAAGCATTCTTTGGCTCATTGGTCCTGAGGGGCCTGGGCAGGAAGGTGAGGGGGCACCCCTGTCACTGTGGACTGACATCCTGTTTGTTTGCACTCAGTGTGGAGCACATGCACAAAGAGCCATTCATGTGTTTGATTTCACTGTACAGCATGTGTGTGGACTGCACTATATAATATTGCTCACAGCACCGAGAGTGGATACAGATACACCCCAGTAGGGGTACCACCATTATTGCATGTTTATCTATATGTGTATTAGCATTTTACTATTTCTAGCGCTGCACTATTTATTTCCATTACATTGTATTTTGTGCCTTGGTTGTGGCATTTTAAGTGCCAGCTGCTTTAGCGACAGGGGTCATAATAGCGCAGGAGGCATACCATATATAAGCTTTTATTGACTACATTGTTTAATACTTTTCCTAGTTAAACATAAAAGAAGAAAACATTTAAAGCAGGGGTATCCAACCTTTTGACTTTCCTGGGCCACACTGGAAGAAGAGGAATTGTCTTGGGCCACACATAAAATACACTAACAATAAGAATAGCTGGTGAGCAGAAAAAGTTGGGCAGATCACAAGTTAATGATCACTGACACTGATAATGTATCTATTTGAGTAAGCAAACTTCATTTTTCTGTGTAACGCCCTCTAGATTTAGCTAGGTAGGATGTTTATTAGTCAGAGGCTGAATAACAGCCTGGGATGAGTCAGCCTGGGAGTGAGGTAGTGAGTTCACCTCAGGACAGGCTGTGAAGCTCTAACAGGCCAGGACATCTGGAACCCTCCCAACTTTTCAGCTTTATGGAAGAGAGAGGGATCTGCATGTTTGAGGGACTTTGGCCAATCCTCTGGCAGGAGGCTGCACATGGTGACCAGAGCAACCCTCAAATGTGGCAGAGACTGGGGGGAGGTGTGCAGTGTCAGGTGGAAGATGGATTGAGGAAGGCTGGAGTGAGGAGCCTTGGAGGGGCCCCAGAGAGGGAAGCCCACCTACAAGCGGGTCACTGGAAAAAAGGATCTCCACTGGCTCAACATTTCCTGGGGAGGACAGCTTGTGTAGCAGGGTAGGAGCCAGCCCAGCGTAAGGCCTGAAGGCAGCCAACTCACCAAGATAACAGGAGAAGGGAGTGCGAGTACTCTTACACCCCCTGGGCCAGATAAGTGGAGAAGGCAGTCAGGTACAACACCCAACTTGCTTCTCATCTGGGCCTGTTCTGAATTAACAGCTCTTGGGCCCCCTTGCCCAGGGATACCTTTAGGCAGCTGGCTGAAGAGGAAGAATCATCCTGGGTCTGAGGAGGTACACTAGAAAGAGCCTTTGGTTCTCTTCAAGGAAAGACTGTTTTTATCCACATTTTTGTACATAGTTGCTAAGGAGTTTGTCCTCAAATTTTGCAGTTCCTTTGGCATCCCATATACCCCTAGACCCCATCTAAGTTCTTAACCCCTTAATAAAATCACAAAACCAAGCTCAAGGACTGTTCATTGACTCCAGTGTGCAAAGTGTGAGAAATGCATGTTACCTAGCAGTGCAGCGCATAGGGGGACCAAAATCAAATCCAGTGGCCCCTAAAGGGGTAGTGCTACATTTGATTTTTTTTTATGTTAGAAGTTAAAGAGGGCACCATAAAACTAGTGCGATATTTGACACTGTTTTTGATAAACTAGCGCAGTGGTGGGCAACCTTTTTTTTCAACTGAGCCAAATCTCGCCAAAACCACGATTGAAATTTATTTTGAGAGCCACATTTTTAAAACTGAAAATACATCCCCCATATAGTAATTCATCCCCCATAGTAATTCATCCCCCATATAGCAATTCATCCCCCATATAGTAATTCATCCCCCATATAGTAATTCATCCCCCATAGTAATTAATCCCCCATATAGTAATTCATCCCCCATATAGTAATTCATCCCCCCTATAGTAATTCATCCCCCATAGTAATTCATCCCCCATATAGTAATTCATCCCCCATAGTAATTCATCCCCCATATAGTAATTCATCCCCCATAGTAATTCATCCCCCATATAGTAATTCATCCCCCATAGTAATTCATCCCCATATAGTAATTCATCCCCCCTATAGTAATTCATCCCCCATATAGTAATTAATCCCCCATATAGTAATTCATCCCCCCCATAGTAATTCATCCCCTATAGTAATTCATCCCCCATAGTAATTCATCCCCCATATAGTAATTCATCCCCCATAGTAATTCATCCCCCATATAGTAATTCATCCCCCATAGTAATTCATCCCCCATATAGTAATTCATCCCCCATAGTAATTCATCCCCATATAGTAATTCATCCCCCCTATAGTAATTCATCCCCCATATAGTAATTAATCCCCCATATAGTAATTCATCCCCCCCATAGTAATTCATCCCCCATAGTAATTCATCCCCCATAGTAATTCATCCCCCATATAGTAATTCATCCCCCATAGTAATTCATCCCCCATAGTAATTCATCCCCCATATAGTAATTCATCCCCCATATAGTAATTCATCCCCCCTATAGTAATTCATCCCCCCTACAGTAATTCATTCCCCATATTGTGTCAATTCACTTACCTTTGCTCCACGCGTTCTTCTCGCCGTGTTCCCGCGCCGTTCTGGTCTTCAGGGCGGACTATGAGAGGAGAGGAGTTCGTCACGCTGCCCCGCCTACATCCTGGCTGCCCCGCCTACATCCTGACAGCTGCAGATTCCTGACTTTTGGGGCGGCCGCCCGAGAGGAGGGAGGGGAGCGGGCGCCCGGCACACAGAAGAGCCACATTTAAGTTTGTAAAGAGCCGCATGTGGCTCGCGAGCCGCGGCTTGCCGACCACTGAACTAGCGCATCAATATATAGTTCTATGGATGTAGTAGCAATTCTCAAAGAATTCTCAAGGTGCTCATTAGATATTTTGGTTTTAATTTTGCTATTCGTGTGCTTCATCCTTGAAAACAGTTACTCACAAATATAGGTGCTGCTGACAATTGATGACTTGAATAAGGCGTGATTGTGAAGAATGGTATATTTTTTTTTGGGAAGATATAATAACTTATAAAAGTCCAGTAAAGAAACGCTGTCACATTTTTCTTCAACCACGTGTTTGCTAAGTGTAAAGGTATTTAAAAGGTATTCCAAAAAGAAAATCAACATTTTTAAGTGAGTTTACAATTTTGTGTTGGGCCGCATTCATAGTCGTCTTGGGCCTTATGTGGCCCAATGGCTGCAGGTTGGACACCCCTGATTTAGAGAATTAACAGACCACTAAAGCACCCTGAACAGTTTTTAGTAATTTAACTAAATGAAAGACATTATAGAACTCAGAAGAATCTTCAAAGCAAACCTCAAAGACTGTAGTTATTATATAAAATACGTATCTTAGAAGTGTATATGTTGAAGTATCAAAAAAAACACCCAAATTCCAGGTTTGTAAAAGTGAGCAGTAGGTACCCACATAGCTTTGATAAGAAAATATTTCTCCATGAACATCAACAAAGATGTTCTTCACAGTGATTGTGGTTAGTATTTGAAATTTCTTGCCAAACATGATGGTGCTCATCGACAATACAGTACATATGAATTGTAATGTAAACTTGATGTTATTCCTAGTAGCAATGGCATACCTCCTTATAGTTCGCTGATCCATTAATTTACTGCTAAATCCTGGTTTTTAATGAGACTGCCATTAAGACATTTAACAAGACATTTTCCCCACTGTTAGGATGAATACAGCTACCTTGGATGTCAGCAACCAGTAGATCATGATCTACCAGTAGATCTCAGCCAGGTGTGTCACGTACCTGATTGGAGATTGAAATGACGAGGTCAGCCTCACTTGTGTCAAAAGTCCTGACCCCACTGGAAGTGGAACAGAGGGTGTCCAGGGACCAGGGGGACAAGAGCGCCAGCAGATGTTTGCAGCTCTTGCAGTTGGAGACTTTGGAAGACTGATGAACCTCCGATTCAGGATCAGTAGTGATATGCAGAGCTGGTATGGTAGGTTGCCAGGTGTGCACCAGAGCAAGGCAGGAAGCCAGGATGGGAGACAGGAGCAATGTCATAGGAATAGCCGGGGTCATCAACGGGCAGACAGTGAGGTACCAAATCATAAGCAAGCCAAAGTCAGGAGCAGAGCCGAAGTCAGGAACAAGTATCAAGCAGGAGAGTAATCAAGAGTCAGGTCAGGAACAAGCCGGGTCAGCAACAAGGAAATCACACAGGAACGAGCAGGAAACGGGGAACAGCTGAAGACCAGTCGGCACGCAGCACAGGCAGAGGCACCTTTTAAATAGTATGTCTGGTGCCAATCTTCACCGTGCGTGTGCGCGGTTGTGCATTTCTGTGCGCATGCTCACTTCTGTTCGCAAATCGTCTCATAGGTGACTGGTAGATCGCAGTCTAGACTTGCTGACCCACCATACCAGAGCATCAAACAGACTGCAATGCAGAGGGACTACTTGTAAAGATGGAGCTGTAGTAGGGAGCAAGAGCCGCATAAGCCGATGTCTCCTCTGTAGTGCTGGCTCCTATGCCCTGTCATAGTTGGTGGGTGTAGCACCTGCCAAGCATGACCTATTCAAGTGAATGAGGCTGCTCTGCAAGTGCCCTGTGACTCTGTGCAGTACAGCAAACAACAGCTTTCTCACCACCTGCTGTAACCCCTTGGACCCCAAAGATGCATGCATTTACAGGACACTTGCAGAGTGGCCCCATTTATTTGAATGGGTCTGATTGGCAGGTGGTAGCAACCACCAAAAAGCAACAGGGGGTGTAATTCCTGCTGCGGCATGTGTATACCTTTGGCTGCTACCTCAGCAGCTAAAGAGGATAGGGATTGGGGGCGGTAAAACCGTGAATCAACCACAGAGTTGTACTACCCCCTGACTTTACATGTGAACGAGTCCTAACAGTGCCACTGATGAATGCAACTAAGGGTCCATTCACAAGTGCAGAAGGGACTGCTGCTCCTCTGCAAAGCAATCTCAGTGCGTTTGGCAGGCGGTGAGGAGGATATATGCTGCCTCCTCACCACCTGATTTAAACCCGTGATTACCATGCAATGTACGCAATTGTGACAGGATAGTACGGCAATTAGAGACTTAAATCAGGTGTGAGTAGGCGACACTGTGCCTGGTGATCTTTGACTTATTCCATGTCGTTCAGGTAGATCTCTACCCCTTTAAACTTGCCTACCCCTTCAGCTACCTCATTGGAGTTTTGTTTATTTTTTCCTCTAGATCATCAGTCCTGTAGCAATATTTTACTATACCTAAACTATTGCGGTTTTGGTCTTTTTACCTTTATCAGCTATGTTAACACATCTAAATTAATTTACTACATGTAGGGTTTAAATATAGCAGGCAAATGGGCTGTCCCTTTAAGAGTAAAGTTGGATGGTAGGAGATACCTCGTAAAATTGGATCAACTTCTATGTGGACTAACAGTGTGTGGTGGGTGTTTAGGATGGGTATTTTAAGCTCGGCAGGTGGGATGTCTGGTCCAGTAACTTGGTGATCTGCAGTCCCAAGTGATCAGGTCTTGGTCCCTAACATAGACCGCAGTCTCTCAGCTCCAGTCATGAAGACACGGTGACTTTGTCAAACTTAGGCTACGTTCTCACTTGACTTTATTTATAACTCCTGCCAAACGCCCCTATAGCATTTGACAAGCGTTAGACAGGTGTTTGGGAAGAGTTTTAACGCTCCCCATACACTCCCCAAATGCCCTATGTGTGTTTTTGAGATTTTTGATAGGCTTTTGCAAAGTGTTAAAACCGCACCACAAACGCCTATAATGAAGTTTAATGGTATTAACGCTCCACAAACGCCTCACAAACGCCTCGCAAATGCTCCACAAATGCCTGCCAGGCATTAGAGAAGTATCACCATAGACTTGAATGGGAGGCTTCAACACCTCCTGACTGGACATGAGGCATCAGTTTTGCCGCTCCGCGACGCTAATGCTGCAGTGTGAACAGCACTGTGTGCTGCCATGTGCATAATTTTCATAGGCGTTTGAGAAGCATTAAAAACGCTTCCCAAATGCCTGTCTGACGCCTGCTGACAAAGCTAGTGTGAACATAGCCTTAGTCTTTGAGGCAGCTCTAGCAGGCTCAGGTTCAGGTCCATCCCCTCTCCCTAATGTGGGTGAACGGACAAAGCACAGGTCCTCTTAGCTCCTCTCCAACAGCTCTGGTCCCTTAGATGTGAGGCACAGACCCTGACAGCAGGTCTGTACCAGTTGCTCTTTTCCCTGGACTTCCTAGCTCCCCACTGAATTTCCTGAAAAAAAGTGAAAATCTCCTTCTCCAGGAGCAGGGGTTTGGACGGATCTGAAGTTCAGTAGTCTTAGGGGTTTATTTACTAAAACTAGTTCACTCAGATTCTCAGGCACTTCTGCATAGAAACCAATCAGCTTCCAGGTTTTATTGCTACTGTAAAGCTTAATTGAACAAGCTGAGGTTAGAAACTGGCTACCATGCACAAGTGCACAAGATTTCGAGTGTACCAGCTTTAGTAAATAAACTCCATAGTATCCATTAACTAGGAGGATGCAGTGCCTCCCTTTAAGAACTACAATTCCCATCAGCCATAGCTTCTGCACAACAAGTTCTTTCTGAGGCTTCCACTGGCTCCTTCTCTTCTGCCCCTTGATAGGATCCGTTCCACTCTCCAAGGAGAGAAGAGTGAAAAGGAAATTCCACTGAGCCCTCTTTTGTTGCATAGATCCCAAAGGAGGTAGAGCTGGGAATCAGCCAACATTAATATCTGCAGCCAGCTCTACCTCTATTTTGAAAGTTCAATGGAGAGTGGGGCGAGAAGGAGATGCGCAGGAGAACAGATACTGGTTCAGATACTCACAGTCCACCAGATGTGTTCATGGGACTGGTGGGAGGGGTGTGGTGAGCAGGCAGACTTATAGCCAGCAGCACCTGGCTACACTTTCAACTATTTTACCATGGTTTACCATTTACATTTTGCCGTGCCTGGCACAGCCTGCTTGATTCAATGTATTGTTGACAGAAAACATTTCAGTAGTTTTAATGCAGGTTGGAAAATCTAAGTAATGATCTAGTTCCTTACTTTAGATGCTGCTTCAGTATTGTCATAGTTTTATATGATACCCCATTCATAGTTCTTCATAGCTAGAGCATCACAGGCCTGATTTACAGACCGACACAATTTAGAACAATTCTAAGGAAAAATCAAAGACAATAATTAACTTATTTTTATTGCAGAACACTGTGGTGCTTCCTTTAATAACATCTGTCCTGAAAGACCCTAATTGTTTCAAGAATCCAACTCAATTTGATCCAGGGCACTTTCTTGATGAAAATGGGGCCTTTAAGAAGAATGATGCCTTCATGCCATTTTCTGCAGGTACCAGAGAACTGTGTAATAATTCAAGCAGGAATCCATTCTATTGATACCAAATACTACCAACAACATACTGTACATAGTATGAACTCCCCATTGCAGAATGGTATAGAACAGATGAGGTTTAACATACTAATAAATGACTGTGAAGAGTAAAAATATAAATATGTATCCAAGTGAGTCTCAAAAGGGACAACACATACTAGGACATCCATTTATTTTCTTTTTGAAGTTTTATTTAATTATCATCTTCTGTCCAGCAGTGCAATGATATGAGAAACCCACTGGTCAGGACTGCAGTCTCATGCATTCTGTGTTGTGCAGCTGCTTTACAACCAGAAGACTCCAGTGGGGTCAGATCATGGGTGCAAATAATTTTCTTCTCATTGTTCAAGAATGTTCAAAAAGTAAGGCAAAATCTGTTTCCAGTCCTTCCCTCCCATGCCCCTTCATCCCATCCTGCCAGCTCATATTCTTTTCTTACCTGGTGAAGTCAGTTATACTTACCTGAGTCCCCGCATCCAGGTCCCTCACTGATGCTGTTTCCACCTTCTGGGACTACTAGTTCAGCACCTGCATGTTAACCCTCACCAGCCGTCCCCTTAACTCCCCTCGGTCTGACATCAAAACTCTTCTGGATCCAAAGAGGAAGACTTCACTGGCTACCTGAATACAGGGCTCACTAGGAAACCAGTAATGAGAAGTACCCGGCGCTGGATAATTACTTGGCCACCGTAAGTAGAGGCAGGAATTTAAATAATTATTTTTTTCTTAACTAAATCAGGCAAAGGTGGGTTGGATGGGGTTAACATTTATCCTGAAGTTGGACTTTAAGTTATAAAATGGTACAAAATGTTAAAAAAAAAGGGCAGAATCAATGAACCAACTGGTCTTTTTTGCAATCACTTTTCTATGTTTCTTGAATGAGACCCATATGCGTAATTAGTGTCTGAAAGAAACTCTGGTGCATAGAGTTGTAAAGCACTGGCCTTCAGCATCACAAGCCTAGAATCGGATGTTCCTGGGCACCAGATTACTGACACATGATTTTTGCAATGCTGGTTGGTCTTGTAATGGTATTGAAAGGCTGATTTTTTTTTCCATTCCCTCTAGGAAAACGCATGTGTGCAGGAGAAGGGCTGGCTCGAATGGAACTCTTTTTGTTTTTTACTACTGTATTGCAAAGATTTACTTTAAAACCTACAGTTGACATAAAAGACCTAGATATCACCCCAGAACCCAACACCAATGCTTCAAGAGCTCGGAATTATAAAATGTTTGCTGTCCCTCGGTGAAATAGCTATTATGCAATATCAAACATGGCGTCACACTGTGGCCAGATGCTGGCAACTATACATTTTTTGGCAGTACCCATTTTATTGTAATATATTGTAGTGGTTCCAGATGTGCCATTTTGCAAAGTAAATAATTTTTGAACTGGATGTAGACTTCAAAATCTTTATGTAAAAAATCAAATGTAAAAATGATACAAAATCTCCAGTATTCCGTGGCCCTTACTTTGCACGCTTTAACATGTTTCATTCATCTACCAGCAGATGATAATGTTGCCTCACATAATTATACTTTTTCAGGTCTGTTTTGAAGCCTTCTATATATGGAAAAAGGCCTTGTTACAGTTACAGCTAAAAGTCCTACCCAAGCTGAACCTGCATGTAAATCCATTACTTGCAAAAAAATGCTCTCTCCGTTGTAAAATTTTGCAGAAGAAAAAATCAACAATGATAATAAAAAGAATTGTGGTTTGAAGGGCAGTGATGTCACTGTGTGATGTTTCAGAATCTATAGAGATTCTGAACTTTTTAGAAAGGGATGTAGCCCCTTAGGATTTACTGAACATTTGGGTCCCCCTATGGTCCTACACAGCCAGGCAACTCAACTTTCCTTCAAATCTCACACACAGGATACAGTAAACAGTCATTGAACTTGTTTTGGGTTTTTTGTTTAAGGGGTTAATAACTTGGCTGGGGTAAGGGGTGTATGGGATGACCAAGGAAACTGCAAACTGAGGCTAACTTCCTTATAACTATATACAAGTCAAAAGATAGCATTTCTCTTCTTGAAGAGCTCTGCAGCCTCTCCTGGTGTACCACCCCAGACCCCAGATAAATCCTCTTCATTTACCAAGCTGTCTGAAGGAATCCCTGGGCAAGGGGATCCAGTGCCTGTCACTTTAAGATATACAGTCCTGGGTAAGGAGCTAATCAAGTTTTCCGCCACAGTGCTCTTTTCACCTTTAGCTGGCCCAGGGGGTGTAGGATTACTCTATTTCCTGTGAGCTGGTTTAGGTAGGTGGCTGCCTTCAGGCCTTCTCCTGGGCTGGCTCCTTTCCTGGCTCCTTTCCTGGTTCCACAAGTAATCTTCCCTCCGGGGACTAGGGAGGCTGAGAAATCCTTTTTTCAAGACCCAGCCTGCAAGTAGGCCCCTTCCCACTGGGCCTCCTCCCAGGCTCCTGCGTCTCAGCCTTCCTCACATCTTCCACCCAAACTCTCCTGTCTTTGAGCAGACTCATCCACTCTTAAGGGTTGTCTTAATCCCATGACAACCCTCCTGCCTGGGGATTGACTAGGATTCCTCAAGAGTGAAGACCAGATCCTCCTCACCCCCACCCACTGAGTTCTAGTGAATTCTCCAAGTCTCTAAATTAGGGGGAGATATTAGAGAGTTGATCTGCAGAGCTTCTCAGCCCTGACCCAAATTTGACCTTCTGGCTATCACCCAGGCTGCTACTCAGCCATCTAACTAAAAAAAATAATTAGCTAGCTCCCCCCAGCTAACTAGGAGGGTGCTATGGGGAGATGCTGAAAGTGTTTCCATACGATGATTTTTTTGAGTGATTTGTGAAATTTCAGATCCCGTAATATTAAACCAGCAGGTTAAATCAAAGGAAAAAACAAATAAAGCATAACAAAAAAGGAAAGACGTAGTGAGATATGTTTAGCATTAGTTCAGCTGTCTTAGAAGAAGAACTTGGGTTAAATTTAAAGTGAATTACTTGCTCAGCTCATGCAAATTAAAGCATTTACATATTCTGAGCAAGCTGCAAAACATGCCTTTATTCATCTCTGTATCTATGAGTATTGTGGAGAAATTGAACTTGGAATGTTCACAGCATATGAATTGAAATCTTAAAGTGTATGTAAAGGGAAAACTGTGTCTTTCAGCTTTGGAGTAGGATTAGGCCCTATGCAAAGCTTTTATTGCTGTCTATGTGCTAACTGGGGAAATTCACCCCTGTATTTAGTGTGGTGAACAATGTCACACAGATATGAAGTGAAAGTAAATCATGACTTTTAGGCAGCCCATACACTGATCTTTTTTTTTTTTTTTTTGTTCAATCAGCAGATTAAATAGAAAAAAAAATACCCAATTCCCCCATCGACACATTCGGTGTGGATAGAGGAATCAGTCCCATTGTGGTATTGTATCCTGATAGTGGAGAGCCTTCCCTGCCATTAGAATACATCGATCAGTGTTGCCAGCTATAGACAGCATCACCGATGATTTAGGAAAAATCTGATAGGCTGATTGTACACAAGTTGTCGATTTTTGTACAACCAGCCTGCAAATACATGGATCAAAATTTGGCTGGTTCCTGCTGATCTGGCCAAATTTCGATCCATGTATGGCCACCTTGAGTGTTGTCATGCGAGCAAGCGGTGGGGATATTCTTCAAATGGTTACAACTGTTTCAGTAACGTCTGTATACAATGGGAATTCCTCTCTTTTTGGAGAGATTTTCTTTCCCTTTCTGTCATACCTCCAAGACAGAAAGTGAACAAAAATTTCCCTGGCAGGAAAAAAAAAAAAAGATGGATTTTAACCACTCCCTACTTTATCCAAAGCTTAAAAAGGTTTTGGCTTTAAATACACTTTTTTATGGAGAGCTTAAATATAGTAGTAGCCACCTTTCTTGATATAAGAGGCCTGAAATTCAGCCTCTGGCATCTTCAAAGGACTGCACATAATGTTATGTAAATGTAATACTAAACAAATTTGACAGAAACTGCAAACATACTATATCAAATGGTGAAAAACTGAAAACATGCTAAAGAAGATATCCAAGAACTATGAATATGATATAGTAGATGGTCGAAGACTGCAAACATGTTATAGGAGATGACCAAAGATTACAAGTATGCAATAAGAGATGGTCAAAGACTATGAACATGCTATAGGATATGGTCAAAGACTACGAACTTGCTATGGAAGATGGTCAAATACTACGACCCTGCTATAGGATATGTTCAAAGACTATGAACATGCTAACAGGAATAGTCAAAAACTACTATAGGAAATGCTCAAAGCCTATGAACATGATGTAAGATATGTTCAAAGCCTAAGGACATGCTATAGGATATGGTCAGATTATGAACATGCTATGGGAGCTAGTCAAAAACAATGAAAAATGCTATAGGAGTTGGTCAAAGACTACATACATGCTACAGGGAATGGTCACAGACTATGTACATGCTAAAAAAGATGGTCAAAGGCTGGAAACATGCTAGAAGAAAAGGGACAAAGACTGTGAACATGCTTAAGAAGATGGTCAGACTGAGAACATATCATATGAGTTTTTTGGAGACTAGGACATGCTTCAGGAAACCCATAGACTGGAGACACATTACATGAGATTACTCTTACAGCTCCTTTGGAAATCAATGCTTCAATGATGGTGTCCCCAAAATGATTTCTGCCACAGCAAGTTGCATACACAAAGAGAAAAGAGGTGGCAAGAATAGAAAAACGTAAGATGGAGTGAAAGAAATAAACCAAACCATTTAACTTCTAAAAGTCAATCTTAAAGTATAGTTCTAAACCCAAACACAAAAATGTATTATATTGTGACTTAACAATCCTTTAACCACCTCAATACTGGGCACTTTCACTTCCTTCCTGCTCAGGCCAATTTTTCAGCTTTTAGTGCTGTTGAATGACAATTATTCAGTCATGCAACACTGTTGCAGCGGTTTTGCGGACACTAT